TCCGGAGGCGCAATAGTGAATTAGTTGTCTTCGTGAAATTACAAAATGCCGGATAGTTGTCTTAGAACAGGAGACAAGACTAAGGCTAGGACTGTTTGTTTGGAAAAGAGAAACGTTAGTAAGGTACGCAATTTTAGTTTCAATTTTAATATGCTATTTCATTTGTTTGATTGTTTGCAGATATGATATATTATGATTCATGTATGTATTCGTGTTTTCATTTGTTAGAACTCTAGTGATATGTTAGTTCTACCAGTTAATTCTTTGTGGTTTTTTTATTATCAATTCATTGAGATAATAACGGATCATATGCATTTAACTGTGTAGAATTTCGTAGGGATTTCATCAATTCACCCTATTATACGAATATGTCATATTTCTTAGGATATATGAATTAAATCAATAGGTAGGATGATATTTACTCTTGTGAATATATATATATATATATATATATATATATATATATATATATATATATATATATATATATATATATAGATGCAATATATATATATATATATATATATATATATATATATATATATATATATAGATGCAATAAACTGACGACGAACAGTACGAAACTAGTAACTAACTAGCCTAAGCTCTTTCGACTCTTAATGAGTCTTTTTCAAAGGCAAATACAAAACATATCTACGATAAACAAATAAACACAAAAACGTTGTGTTTGTAAACCTCTACATGGCTGTCTTCACATGTGCTAAAACTATAAATACAACCAGCTTGTATAGACTAGATGCGGAAACTCAAAACGTTGTATAATTCCCTAAAAGTCTACAAGCCAAAGCGACATCTATTTTTACTTTTTGTACATATGTAACGCAGATTATATCCCGGATATTTGATTCTATACCGATTATTCTTATAGTAAAAATTGAAGGATAATAAGAAGATTTAGAAAATGTTAAATTTTACTAGTGCATAGTTTTCATTTTCTAGTCTTCTTGGTTTAGACCGCTTGGTTTCAATGTTCTAAGGCGGCGTATCCAGTATGATTCCTTTTCCTTCCTGGTTTCGGAACTCCAGCTGTGGTTTTTAGCAATTGCGATAAGTATTATATCACTGAAAGTGTGGCCAGGGGAGAAGAAGTGTTCTGCGACCGGGCTTCTGTACAGCGTTTTTGTCATCTAATCAGATCTATGAAGGTTTATCCTTTTGTGTAGATTTTCAGTTTCTCCGACGTACTGAAGGCCACAGATCTTACATGTGATGAGATAAATCACATTCTCTGTTTTGCACGTTTTGTTTGGACCATGTATGTTTAGTTTTTCTTTAGTCACTGTGCTAGTGAATGTCTTGGTCTCTATCATATGTTGACAGGTTTTGCATCTTTTATCGCCACAGTGTCCAGATTGACTAGGTTGGTTTTGACTAGCGATTGGCGTTAGCTTTGCCCTGACTAGGATGTTCTTTAGGTTTTTTGGTCTCCGGTAAGCTACTACAGGTTTGTTCGGAAGTATTAGGTTTAGTATGTCTGACGATTGCACGGTTGGCCAGTGGTTTGCGATGATTTTACCTACTTTGGGATTGTCTGGGTGATAGGTCAGAATAAATGGTATCCTATCAACCTTTTCTTTCTGTCCATATCTGAGTAGGTCATCACGGTTTGTTTGTTTAACCCTTTGGATTGCCTTCGCAATCAGGTCTTTGTCGTAGCCTGGGTAAATTAAATGTTTAGCCAGCTCTTCAGACCTTTCTAGGAATCTTTCATCGTCGGAACAAATTCTGCGTATCCTCAGTGCCTGGCTATATGGAATGTTCTTAATGCAGAGTTTTGGATGACAGCTGGTTGGGAGGAGATACTGGTGTTTGTCGGTTGGTTTCGAGTAGATGTCTGTGTGTACTTTGTTTTCCACCAGTCTGGTTGTTGTGTCCAGGAAAACATGGTTTGAGTTGGAAATTTCTGCCATGAATTTCATTGAAGGATGGAAGTTGTTTGCCTTTGATATGAAGTCATCCAGACTTTCTCTTCCATACTGCCACTTCATTTCTATATCATCGATAAAGCGTACCCACTGGTATGGTGTACGCTCAACTGATGCTAAGAGATGACCCTCAAGTTTTCCCATGAAAATGTTGGCATACGAAGGGGCCATTTTAGTACCCTTTGCAGTTCCATTGATTTGTAGGTAGTTTTCTTCATTAAATTCAAAGTTGTTGAGTTTTAGGACAAGCTCCAGGAGTTGGACTAAGAAGTGAGTGGGTGGATTGTTTACAGTTCTTGTTTCCCATGCTTCGCTACATACCTGTAACCCTTCGTTGTGCGGTATGTTGGTGTACAAAGATGTGATGTCTAAGGAAGCAAGTAATGTATCTGGCAGTAATGGTTCACTAGCTTTGCTTTTTATGAGATAATCTGTCGTGTCTTGAAGATATGATGGTAATTTGTGGACATGTGGTCTCATAAAATGATCTAAATATTCTGATATCCTTTCTGTGGGGTGCCCGTTACCTGAGATTATAGGTCTGCCAGGGTTTTCTTGTTTGTGGATTTTGGGTAGAAGATAAAATCTACCTGCTTTTGGGTTTTCTGGGCTTAAGTAGTTTTTCGTTTGCTGGTCTATGTGTCCACTTTTGTACGCCTCGTCAATAACATTAGTGATGATTTTTGCATATTGCATTGAATAGCCAAATGTAAATAAGTTGTGTTGTAATGTATGCTGGCATATACGGCCACATTTGTCTGTAGAAGGCACGTGGGAATAAAGGACTCGCAGTATGAACCTGAGTTAAGGGTCATGTGTATCAACTTAACGGTGAACATACCGCTCGATGGAATATGTGAGAGTATTGATTTAAGTGACGTGATGTCAGGATTATACAGTGAAATCCATCTAAATCTGCGCACGAGAAATATAGTTTATATTTATGCGTAAATGTGTAGTGGGATTTGTCTAGCGTGAGACATACTCTATATTTAAGGGGACAGCTTCGTAGTTCTAGTTCAACCTTCATAGTTCGTACTCTGAACGAGAGAAAGGAGAAGGAGGAATATGGAGGGAACTCAATGAGTCGAAGAGGAATTCTGCATCTTCGGTATGTCAGAAAAGTGAGGGTCAAACAGGACCAAGCACGTAGATAGACGTGAGAGACAAATCGTGAGAAGACAGGTGTAAGGTGATGCTGTCAAAGCATAAGATTTGACTCTAAATCACCACTCGAGTACATGATAATATTTATACGCCGTATTGATTTCTGTCATTGACCATCAGTTGAATAGAAAGTGAATTTGGCTATGCTTTAATTGAATATATAATTTAGCAAATCAGGTAGGGAATTTATTGTTTCTTTGATTATCTGTAATTGGATTAAAATGTTATTTTTTATTCACTGAAAATGGGTTCGTTGATTTATTTCGTTCAATACTTTGCTCAGCTATCGGTGAAGTTCCATTTATCCATCCACACTGGCAATTACACCACGGAAGATCATTCCCAAGCTACGACGCCGAATTGAAAGGAGGAGGGTTTTAATGTTTAAATCCACCACCCCCTTATCACAGTCATTATTAGTTTTAATTTATTTGATGGAGCAATCGAATATGAAATGAAAAAAAAGTAAGGTAAAAGTACATTGTCAAACCATTTACAGCAACACTATTAATTTATAGAAGAGTGGAGCACATGAGTAAAAGTGGTTGAATACCGTGCACAATTCTGTCATCGCAGAAAGTATTTCCTGAATTACTCGGGTAGTTTGAAAATTATTTTCATCTTGTTTAGGACGTTGCACATATACATTCGTACATACATACATACATACATACATACATACATACATACATACATACATACATACATACATACATACATACATACATACATACATACATACATACATACATACATACATACATACATACATACATACATACATACATACATACATATCTTGAAACGGGTAATTTTGCGAGAGAATAAATATGCAAGGCAGAGCGAATAAAGAAATAATACAAAATAGAATCCATAATGAAAGCAAACTAAATGATGAATATATTTTAAAAGAACCAGAAGTGTATATGAAAACGCAGATAGCAGACCGATGAATGATAGGCGAAATCGGAACCAAAAGTTTTTGCATTTCTTCAGTTTGAAAATAAATCCTATTTAAGTGCCTTTAAATTATCATGGTCAAAACCACTTTCCAATCCATGGTCCGATTCTTTACACAGACAGTCCATTCTTTAATAATTATAAATTGCAGTATTGTTCTTGTCGACGCAAACATAAAGAAATGCCATGGAATCTTAAGATCGCATTATCGCTGGCACTTGCATTAATAATTTTTTTTTTCAGCGAAGAAAGATAGAAAGTTAAATTTGATGGTAAATACCCTGCAACGATATTTTTACATAAATTGCAGTGGCAAGTATATCTTTCAAAATTCATTGCGGTGTTTTACAATTGTACCCATTTGCACGCTGTTTCAACAAAAGCAACAGTTATCGCCCTTTACAACTATTTAAATAGAAATATCCGACATTAGTAAATATTTTGCTATTTTGTTCCAAACGAGCGAAAGAAAAACTGAACTGATGAATCGAAGTGATTAACAGAAAATCATTATACACAATGGAAAGACCAACTTTTTACTAAATGCTGAACTACAAAAATGAATGGAAACCGAAAGGAACGTAAATGATATAATTCTTGATGCGTTTCAAGTGAAAATGAAATGCAAAAATATATTATCCGTTTCAGAAAATCCATGCATACAAAAAATACATATAACGTCTTTTGCAACCAGTAGTGCGAACGGTTTCCGTACCGTTATCGTTTCATGCCATTTTTAAATCTTCAATCAGCTGTCTCGTTGTATCCGTAAGCTTTCAAACCATACCGTACCATATTGTTTTATACCACCTACACCTTTCCTAGATAGTTTCACGGCGTTAATCAAGTTTGTTTTTTAAGTTCTTAACGGACTTTCCAATTAAACCATCTCATATTAAGTCTGTTCCAACCAATGTTGTAAGAACCGCTCCGGTGGCCTAGTGGTAAGAGCCTCCGCCTCGGATGCGGGAGGTTGTGGCTTCGAATCCCGACCGAGTCA